CCTTGGGGTCCCCCCGGACGAGCTGGAGGAAGTGTGTGTGGATAGGGAAGTCTGGGCGTCTCTGCTTAGACTGCTGCCCCCGCGACCCGACAACGGATAAAGCGGAAGAAAATGGATGGATGGATGGATGGTTATTTTTGAGTTTGTTGACTGTGCGCCAATTTCCAAATTGCGACCGTCTCTTCCATACACATTGAAGTCTAGTGATGACACTACAACATATTATATTTCTGAACTTTCTATTGTTTATGCAAAACATACTGCAAAGAGCAAAACTGCAAAAAAAATTTGCAGAAGTGTTGAATTCCACAATGGCTCAGATTGGACGGTCCGTAGCCAAGCTCCACGCTTCTAATCCGGAGTTGGAGGAAAGGGGACCGACCGGCGCTGAAGCTGCAACAACGCCATCTGTGGGAAAACTCCTGCAACCACCAGCAACAGTTCCTGTAGCTCTGAAACCAGAAACACAGCCACACATCACACCACCTTCCACATCGGAGCCAAGAGCGAGAGTGCCAATCCCTAACCTGGATGTTAACCCACCTGGAATCCAGCGGTATGTGGTGGAGCATATAGTGAAGAGCGATGAAAACACATCCCATCAGAGACTCAGAGTGTTTTCAGGACGCCAGCCGAGACCCACGCAGGAGGCGGATTACGAGACATGGCGGTCAGGAGTGGATTTACTACTGAGGGACCCGTCAGTCTCAGACCTCCACCGCTCGCGGAGGATTGTGGATAGCCTCCTGCCACCTGCAGCTGATGTTGTGAAGCACCTGAGTGTGGACACTATGCCAACAGTATATATGGATATTTTACACTCGGCATATGGTACTGTTCAAGATGGAGATGAGCTCTTCGCAAAATTCATGGATACTTTTCAGAACAGTGGAGAGAAGTCATCCTCCTATCTACAACGGCTCCAAGTGGCACTGAATGCAGCTGTGAAGATGGGCGGAGCTATGGACGTTGATGTTAACAGGCACCTAATCAATCAATTTTGCCGTGGGTGTTGGGACAATTCTCTTATAGCTGAACTCCAACTAAAGCAAAAGAAATTGAACCCACCAACATTCTCTGAGCTTCTGCTTCGAACAGAAGAGGACCGAGGTGCAGCAAAGGATCTCCGGATGAAACAGCATCTTGGTACGGGCAGACAGAAGGCATCCACCCACGTGCATAGTGCCAGTTCATATGGGGACAGTGAAGAAGGTGGAGCAGTCGCTGCTTTGACATCGCAGGACACCCTTCTACTTGTCTTCTGGACACTGGATCACAGGTGACAACCATTCCAGTGTCTTTCTATAATGAAAACCTGAGTGATCAGCCTGTGAAGCCATTGCACAACCTGCTCCAGGTCGAGGGAGCAGCTGGACAATCTGTGCCCTATCTGGGATATGTAGAGCTGACCATTACCTTCCCTAAGGACTTCCTGGGATCTGAGGTTGATGTACCAACGCTCGCCCTGGTTGTCCCAGATGCCCGTCCTGAGTGCCCATCTCAGGTGCTCATAGGAATGAACACCCTCGAGCCCCTGTACGAGCTCCACTGTGGCAGCTGTCACTCCACCTTTCAGCCCACAGCCCAGGGGTATCGAGCCGTCCTGAAGCTACTGCAGATGCGGCACCAGCAGAACCATGTGGGCAGTGCAGGATCTGTGCGGCTGTTGAGCCAAACTCCAGTCCTCGTTCCTGCAGGACAGACCATCGTCCTGGAGGGTTCCGCTCGATTGGACGCCTCCACTGCAGATCAGTGGGCCATGATTGAGCACCCGTCATCAACACTTCCTGGAGGCCTGTGTGTCCAAAGCTGTCTCATCACCCTCCCATATCACTCTCCATACAAAGTGCCAATTATCATGAAAAATGAGTCAGAACAAGATGTGTGCATACCTCCATCAACCATTGTGGCTGACCTTGGAGTGTCACCCAGCATTCTGTCACAGGAAGTCAGAACCCCAGATCCGAAGGTCCGGAACCCTGTGCAGTTCAACTTCGGAGATTCGCCGGTTCCACCAGAATGGAAGGAGCGGTTGACAAGCAAACTCAACACCATGCCCGAAGTGTTCTCTCACCACGAGATGGACTTTGGCTGTACTGACCGAGTGAAACACACCATCAAACTCCATGACCCGACCCCCTTCAAGCAGCGAGCGAGGCCTATCCATCCACAAGATCTGGAGGCCGTCCGCAAACATCTTCGGGACCTGCTTGAGGCTGGAGTAATACGGGAGTCGGAGTCGCCATTCTCATCCCCTATAGTGGTGGTGAGGAAGCGCAACGGTGAGGTTCAACTGTGCATCGATTACAGGAAACTGAATATACAGACTGTAAAAGATGCTTACGCCCTCCCGAACCCTGAAGAGTCTTTCTCAGCTCTGACGGGGTCGAAGTGGTTCACCGTGCTGGACTTAAAATCTGGATACTACCAGATCGAGATGGCAGAAGAGGATAAAGCCAAAACTGCTTTTGTCACACCACTCGGGTTCTGGGAGTGGAACAGGATGCCGCAGGGAGTAACGAACGCCCCAAGTACGTTCCAGCGGCTGATGGAGCGCTGCATGGCAGGGCTACACCTTAAGGAAGTTCTAGTCTTCATTGATGATATCATCGTGTTCTCAGCAACCTTGGAGGAACACGAGACACGGCTTATGCACGTACTGTCTCGTCTCAAGGACTTTGGACTCAAGCTTTCACCGGACAAGTGTAAGTTTTTTCAGTCCTCTGTGCGCTACCTGGGACATGTAGTTTCTGAACATGGAGTCGCCACAGATCCAGAAAAGATTGAATCCTTGAAATCCTGGCCAGTTCCCCGCAATCTTAAGGAGTTGCAATCTTTTCTGGGTTTTGCCGGTTATTACCGACGCTTTATTAAAGACTATGCAACCATGGTGAAACCATTGAATGAGCTTACTTGTGGATATGGATCTCTCCGTCGCTCTACCCGAGTGAAGAAGCCTGGAGAGACGTACCTTGATCCGAAGGAACCATTCAAAGGAACATGGACCAGCCGCCAGCAGACCGCGTTTGAAATGGTGATTGAAAAATTAACTTCTGCTCCTGTTTTAGGCTTCGCTGACCCCAAGCGGCCGTACATCCTCCACACGGATGCGAGTACCGTTGGGTTGGGAGCTGTGCTCTACCAGGAGCAGGAGGAAGTGTTGCGTGTCGTTGCTTACGCCAGTCGAGGGCTGTCCCTGAGTCCCCCATAAATTGGAATTCTTGGCCCTGAAATGGAGTGTTGTTGAGAAATTCCATGACTACCTTTATGGAGCCACCTTCACTGTCATCACGGACAACAACCCTCTCACCTACGTACTCACCTCTGCAAGACTGGACGCCACAAGTCATAGATGGTTGGCCGCACTTTCTACATACTCCTTCAAACTGCAATATCGTGCTGGACGGCAGAATTTGGACGCGGACGCTTTGTCTCGACGCTCTCATGGAGAACATCCAGATGACCCTTCCTGTTCGGAACGGGACCCCCTTCATCACCTGACCCAGCAGCTATGTGAGTCAAGTGAAGCAGAAGAGATCTCTCCAGAGATAGTTGATGCCATCTGCCAGAGCTGTCTTGTGAGAACAGATCCAAGTCAAGCTACGATGATTCTGGTTGAGTCTCTGTCTGCCACTGTCGACATCATCCCCGACAGCTTCACCAATGAAGAACTCCATGGCTTACCCACGGTTTCATCCCTATCTCACACCGAGCTTCAGGACCATCAGAGAGCTGACCCTGCCATTCGTGAGGTCATTCACCAACTCGAAACGGGTGAGAAAGTTCCCCCTACAGCCAGAGCCGAATTGCCAGAACTTCCACTGCTTCTTCGAGAGTGGAATAGGCTGGAGTTGGAAGATGGAGTTTTGTACCGGAAGAGACAGGATGAGGACAAGGTTCTCCTACAGTTGGTCCTTCCACCAGATCTTCGTCCTGCTGTTTTAAAGAGCCTGCACCACAACATGGGGCACATGGGCATTGAGAGGACGCTTGATCTGGGCCGTCAACGCTTCTTTTGGCCAAGGATGGCAGTCGCTGTGGAGGACACAATCAAAAGCTGTGGTAGATGTGTGAGACGCAAGGCACTAGTGGAGAAAGCAGCTCCGCTAGTGAACATTAAAACCAGTCGCCCACTTGAACTACTCTGCATGGACTTCCTTTCATTAGAACCAGACAGTAGTAACACCAAGGACATTTTAGTTCTCACAGATCACTTCACTAAATTTGCAGTTGCTATTCCCACCGCCAACCAAAAGGCTCACACTGTAGCTAAATGCCTCTGGAATGATTTTATGGTGCACTACGGTATTCCAGAGCGCATCCACACAGACCAAGGCCCGGACTTTGAGTCCAAACTCATCAAGGAGCTTTGCGAAGTTGCCGGCATCCGGAAGAGCCGTACTACTCCGTATCACCCACGGGGTAATCCAGTTGAACGGTTCAACCGCACTTTGCTCACGATGCTGGGAACCCTCGAAACAAAGCAGAAGTCACAGTGGCGGTTGCATGTAAAGCCATTGGTCCATGCATACAACTGCACAAGGAACGAGGTCACCGGGTTCACCCCTTATGAACTCCTCTTCGGACGTTGTCCTCGTCTCCCCGTCGATCTGGCTTTTGGTCTGCCGGTCCGAGAAAAGCCCTCAGTCTCTCACTCTGACTATGTTAAGAATCTCCGGTCACGCCTCAAAGAGAGCTACCAAATAGCTTCTGAGAATGCTCTTAAGTCAGCTGCCAGAAATAAAGCACGTTTTGACAAGAGAGTCACACCATCTACCCTCGAGGTTGGAGACCGAGTCTTGGTCCGCAATGTCCGCTTGCGAGGAAAGCACAAGCTAGAGGACAAGTGGGAGCGGGAAGTGTACAAGGTAATCCAGCGTGCTGGAGAGTTGCCTGTTTACACGGTGCAGCCGGAGAATTATGATGGACCTACTCGCACGCTGCACCGAGACCTCCTGCTGCCTTGCGGGTTCCTACCAGCTTGCTCTGACGATCTTCCCATGGAAACCCCGGCCCAACGACCAAAGACTCGCAGCCAGACTCGTGACCAAGTTAATTGCTCTGATGTTCCGGAGGGAGAGTATGCTGAAGCAGCCATCCTGGAAAGTCCTGTCCGGGTTCCAGTCAAATTCACAACTGAGAGTTTTAGAGACGTTGAGCCACTGCCTTTGACCATCCACACTGAGGAGCCTGTCGCACCACCAGTCCTCAGTGATGTTGAACTACCTGACCTCCACTCACCTGCTCAAAATCTGGACCCTGAAAACCACTTACCTGAAGAACCTGCCACCTCCGATCCACCTACATCCCTGGTGGGAGAAGAGGAAGTGCCAGAGGGAGAAGACTATCTTGAGCCAGTACCTGTGGAGGAAGAAATACTTACCAATGACTTACCCGTTGAACCTGAACTGTCCCTAGACACTGAGGTTGCTGATCCATCGACCGTCCAACCTGAGCCATCCTTCGGGCCCATCAATTCACCCGAAACTGTCTCTAATGTGGCGGAACCCGAAACAGTTCTTAGGCGTCCTGGGCGTCAACGCCAGCCACCCAGTCGTCTCACGTACACTAGTTTGGGTAATCCACTCATTTCCGTTGTACAAAGTTTGTTTCACAGCCTGTCAAATGTATATACGGAAGCGCTCAGTTACGTTCCTATTGTAGATCCGAAGCCTGAAAGACCATGCAGCGGGACGCGCATGAATTAAATGGGGGAGGGTGTAACCCGGGTAATTTTTATCATTCTCTGCACCTCTCCATTTGTCATTTTTTTGCCGTCTCTTTTAAATAATCTCGCGGTAGTTGGTTGTTCCGACGAGAGTTTGAGCGAGAGTTCCCACGGTCCCCATGGCAACATTTCCTCAAATAAGCGCGCTCTGTCCACAGTCGGGTGTGTTGCTGTGGGGAAAGTTCGGATCCGAGCAGGCTGCAGGTAATTGTCCGCGATCTAACTTCGTTTCATAATCTACGGGTTGTAACTGATATGCTTTCACTACAGGCGCCTCCTACACTATCTTTGACGCGGTTGTCACACTGTTTGCACTGTTCTACAGAGGAACTGGTGAGTCAGATTGTTTGATTCTGCACGGAGCTAGTAGCTAGCGCTAGTCTCTGCTGCATTACTGACTTTTCTCTTTGATGTATGTTTTTCTGTGTCGGTGCCTAGGCCTAGTAGTATGATTGTGATAATGTGTATTGAGGTATTTTAATGTGCACCTCAGCAAAATGTTAAATGCATTGATATATTTGATTGTGTGCACAAGATAAGCTAATGTGACCTGTGCATTATTGTTTATGGTGCATTGTGATGAGTACTCTTGATTATTTAATATACATGTATATGAGACTTTGTTTTTGTAATGACCTATTGCTTATTTGAATGAGATGTGACTAATGCTGGTCCTGTTCGTAACAGGCCAGGTTCTATCCATCCATCCATTCCTTCCATTGGTCCCTCCAGTCCAGTGGTCCCCTTGTCGATGGCGAGCTGCCCCAGGCCCAAAGCCTAGACCCAGACTGTCCCACAGTGCGGTAGGAGGCGAGCAGCCTTTTGCTCACCCACACAACACCTCCACTCCTCACAAAGTGGACACTTAATAGACATTTGATTACAGCAACACGCTGGTTATATGGACTCAACTTTACACTCTACATTCATTGTACATATTGTGTATATTGTATATATGTTTGTATATATCCCCAGTCTTTTGTATATATATCTTTCCGCAATATAATTCACATTTTTGCACTGTACCACTGTCTCTGTCTTTTTAAACACCTTTCTCTCTTGTGAGACGCATCTAGCTTCTGGTACTAGCCTAAGATCAGTATTGTGCCTGTGGGTAACATAAAGCATACAACCCATATATGCTACACTCACTACATTTGAGAGAATGGCCCAGTTGTGCCGCTGGCCAGAGGATGAGTGGGCTCTACGCCTGGTACCACTGCTAACAGGCAAAGCCCGAAGAGCCTATGTTTTGATGGACATGATTGATACAGAGGACTATGAAAAAGTTAAGGAGGCCATCTTGGAAAAATATGAAATCACTTCTGAAACATACCGCCGCCGCTTCAGATCCCTGAAGATCGAGCCATACGAGACGCCGAAGGAGCTGTATGTCCGCCTCAAAGAGCTGTTCATGAGATGGATTCAGCCGGAAAGGACAACAATCAAAGCGATGTGTGAAAAGCTAATCCTGGAACAGTTCCTACGTATGGTCAGTCCTGAGCTGGAGATCTGGATCAAGGAGCACGATCCCAACACAGCAGAGGAAGCTGCATGATTGGCCGAGGTCTTCACATCGGCACGGAAAGGGAGCAGACCCACGTCCTACGCCCAAGAACCTCGCCAGCTCATGCCACGTAAGTCCTTTGGGGATGATGGGGGTGGTCCTTCCCAGAGTAGAACCAATAGCGGTAGACTAAATGCACCAATGCACCAGTCACGTCCAGTTAAAGAGCCCTTTAGACCACAAGATTTTAGGTGCTACAATTGTAATGAGCTTGGTCACAGTCACCGCTTTTGCCCAGTTCTTAAAACCAAGCAATCCCTACTGTGTTCTGTACCTAGGCCAGCAACGGCACAGACAGAGCAGAGGAGGGGGCGCACAACCCCAGTTCTTGTGAATGGCCACTGTGCAGAAGCACTGTTAGATTCTGGGTGCTTTCAGACTGTAGTACGGTCCTCTTTGGTTCCGCTTGAGCGGCAGTCGGCTGAAAAAGCTCGGCTTATCTGTATCCATGGGGACGAGCACAACTACCCTACAGGAGAGGTTTATCTTACAGTGGGGGGGGCAAACTTACTTGGTTAATGTGGCCAAGTAAGACTTGCCTTTTGCAGTTATCCTTGGAAACGACATCCCAATTCTCCCTGATCTGATTGTTCAAGCAGATAGCGGGCACTCAGAAATGTGTTCAGCGATTGCTTCAAACCCCTGCTTTCATTCCCCCCCAGAACCTGCTAAACCCTGTAGCATTCTCACCAGAGCTCAGATAGCCAGGGGAATTTGTGAGGAGCTACCTTTTTGTGACGAGGAGCTAGCTCAACCTTTCAAAGCTAGAAAGCCCAGAGCCCAAAAGAGAAGGGAAAAGTTTGTTGGCTCACAGAAAGGGAAAGGGGAGCTTTCTAAACCCCTGAGTACAGTGGAATTTTGCATCCCATCAGACATTGGGGCTCTGCAAAAAGAGGACTCTACACTAAAGCCCTGGTTTGACAAAGTGAAAGAATGGGAGGGAGTGAAAACAGGAAAAGGTAGCCAGTTAGACGAAGTCAGCTATGTAATAAAAAATGATTTACTTTACCAGATCAAAGACAATAATGAAGCGTTAGCCTTACCTGACAAATTTCAAATCAAAGTGATGGAGCTGGGTCATTCAGTCCCATGGGCAGGTCACATGGCGTTTCAAAAGACACTAAGACGAATTAGCAACCGCTTTGCATGGCCTGGAATGTTTTCTCAAGTCTCCAAATTTTGCAGTTCCTGTAAGATTTGCCAGCTAACTTCAAAAAGAGGAGTAGCTCAGGCCCAGCTCCAGCCACTTCCGATTATTGAAACTCCTTTCGAAAGAATAGGTATGGACATTGTAGGTCCCCTGGAAAGGAGCTCTGCAGGAAACCGGTATATTTTGGTCATATCAGACTATGCCACACAATACCCTGAGGCCTTTGCTCTCAAAGCAATTAAAGCTAAACAAGTTGCTAACTGTCTTTTGCAACTCTTCTCAAGAGTAGGAATAGCTAAAGAAATACTCCCAGATTGTGGCACAAATTTCCTGTCAAAGCTCCTCTCGCAGGTTTACCAGTTGCTTGGGGTAAAGGGAATTCGGACCACTCCGTATCATCCCCAAACGGACGGTTTGGTGGAGTGATACAACCAGACATTGAAATCTATGCTGCGCAAGTTTGTCTCCTCTACAGGCAAGGTCTGGGACCAGTGGCTTCCATATCTGCTCTTTGCTTACCGAGAGATCCCACAATCGTCAACGTGCTTCTCACCTTTTGAGTTGCTGTATGGACGCCAGGTGAGAGGACCCCTGGACTTGCTGAAAGAGCACTGGGAGCGCAAAGAGCCTGAAGGAGACAACGTGGCAGCCTACGTACTCAAGATGAGGGAGAGGCTTGAGTCGATGGCAGCTCTGGCACAAGAGAATCTCAAGGCAGCACAAACCTCCCAGAAAGCCTGGTACGACCGGAAGGCAAGGGACCGAGCCTTTACACCAGGTCAAAAGGTACTGTTACTTTTACCTACCAGTGAAAACAAACTGCTCGCTAAATGGCATGGACCTTATGAAATAACAAAACGGATCAGTAATGTCACATACGAACTGTTTATGCCAGAGAGACTTAAAAAGAAACCAAAATTTAACATTAATCTTCTGAAAGAATTCATTGTCCGTCAGGAGCCTTCTCAGCAGTTTTTGGTGTGTGCTGTGAAAGATGAGGAGATTACAGAAAAGTTCTTCCCTGTCCCTCCCAAAGAGCCAGCTGCCATTGACCTTTCTCACCTCTCCCCCTCAGCAGGACAAGCTAAAACCTTTCTTGAACCCAGTTCTGTTCCAGGAGACGCCTGGCTTTACTTCACTGGTCCAACATCAGATCCGCCTCATACAGGAAGCTCCAAAGAGACAGGAGCTACAGGATCCCAGAGTGGTTGGTGCCAGTGCTAAAGAAAGAAATATAACTCATGCTTGATCTGGGAATTATTGAAGCTTCAGATAGTGAATGGTGTAGCCCTGTTGTGCTTGTGCCAAAAAAGGATGGATCTCTGCGTTTTTGTATCGATTTCAGATACCTGAACGCCATCTCAAACTTCGACCCCTACCCGATGCCCCGCATCGATGAGCTTCTGGAGCGTGTTGGCAGAGCAGCCTACATCACCACGCTGGACCTTTCCAGAGGCTACTGGCAGTTGGCACTGGCACCAGAGGCAAGAGAGCTGACAGCCTTCAAAACACCGTTCGGCCTCTATCAGTTCAGAGTCATGCCCTTTGGACTGCAGGGAGCCCCAGCAACGTTTCAAAGGCTGATGGACCATGTGCTACTGGATGTGTCAACATTTTCAGCGGCATACTTGGATGATGTCGTGATCTACAGTGAGTCCTGGGAAGAACATCTCGGCCACCTCCAGGAAGTCCTGCAGAGAATCCAGGCCGCCGGACTGACCATCAACCCTAAAAAGTGTGCAGTGGCCCATAGGGACGTAGAGTATCTGGGATACACCATTAGATATGGAAGGATCACCCGTCAGGTGCAGAAGATGGAGGCCATCCAATCCTTCCCAGTGCCCACAACAAAACGAAAGGTCAGGGGGTTCATAGGACTGGTTGGATGGTACGGGAAGTTCATCCCCCAGTTTGCTGAGAGAACGGCCATCCTCAATGACCTGACAAAGAACTCTGCCCCAAACAAGGTTCACTGGACTGAGGCTTGCAAAGAGGCCTTTACTGACCTGAAGGAGGCCATTTACACCCGTTCAGTCCTCCAAAGCCCTAATTTTGACTTGCCTTTTGTCCTCCAAACGGATGCTTCAGGGGTTGGACTAGGAGCAGTCCTTCTCCAGGAGAAGGATGGAGAACGAAGGCCTGTAGTCTTCCTGAGTCGTCGGCTGCTGGACCGGGAGACTCGCTACTCAGCAGTGGAGAGGAGTGTTTGGCGATGAAGTGGGCAATTGACTCCCTGCGCTACTACCTGCTCGGGAGACACTTCATCCTGGAAATGGATCACCGGGCACTTCAGTGGCTACACCGCATGAGAGAGGCAAATACCCGCATTGCTTTATGGTACCTGGTGTTAAGGATTGCGTGTTGGACCCCAAAGCAGAGACAGACTGAGCACGATTCAAGGACAGTCTTTACGTACAAAAAGTAAATAACAAAAACACAAGACAGGCAGTGGTGACAAGGAGCTGGCTGGCTGGTCCGGAAAAAGGGAGACCTGAACACAGGACACAAAAAACCCATAAGCAAAAAATAACACAAGAGCAAAAACTCACACTGCTGCTGCACACTAACTTGAGACATTGAATAATCTGGCAGAGAAGTGATGTCTGCACCAGAGCTTTATGCAGAGCTGATGAGGAACAGGTGTGTGAGCCCACACACCTGCTGCAGAGCCAGCCACGCCCCCAGTCACACACATGCCCTGAAACAAAAAGAAAGGGAGGGGAGAGGCAGAGAAAACCCAAACCCAACAGTACCCCCCCCTCAACGGACGCCACCTGGCGTCCTGCCAGGCCGGCCAGGATGCAAGGCGTAGAAATCAGCCAGCAGAGCAGGGTCCAGGATCATGGAGCGCGACACCCAGGAACGGTCCTCCGGGCCATACCCCTCCCAATCCACCAAATATTGGAAACCCCGCCCACGACGGCGCACATCCAACACGCGCCGTCGTGGGCAGAAAAGGCAGGACCGCCATCAACGATCCGGGGGGGAGGAGGGGGCTCGGCCGGAGGGCTGAAGGGACTCGAGGCCACCGGCTTGAGCAACGAAACGTGAAAAGCAGGGTGAACATTTAAAGACGGGGCAACTTCAGCCTCACCACCGCAGGATTAATAACTCTGTCGATCTCGTAAGGACCAACATATCTCGGGGCCAGCTTACGGGACTCAACCTGGAGGGGCAGATCCCTGGTCGAAAACCACACCTTCTCACCAGGCTTGTAGTCCGGGGCTGCAGAACGCCGGCAGTCAGCAACACTCCGGTTCCGAGCTGCAGTCCGAGACAGAGCGGCCCTGACCTCGACCCACACCCGCCTGGCTCTGCGCAGATGGTGCTGCACCGACGGAACAGTCACCATTGTTTCCTGGGATGAAAAAACGGGGGGCTGAAAACCATTAGCGGCCATGAATGGAGACATACCCGTAGCAGACGAGACCAAGGAGTTGTGGGAGTATTCGATCCACGGAAGGTGAGTCAACCAGGAATCTGGGAAACGTGCCGTGACACAACGCATAGCCGCCTCAAGGTCCTGATTTGCACCCTCCGTCTGGCCATTAGTCTGCGGATGGTATCCAGAGGACAGGCTTGCAGATGCTCCCAAGGCCCTACAAAAGGCCTTCCAAACCCGAGAAGCAAACTGGGGGCCTCGATCGGAAACAATGTCCTGGGGTATTCCATGCAACCGGAAGACATGCTGGACAAGCAAGTTGGCTGTCTCAAGAGCAGAAGGAAGTTTAGGCAACGGGATGAAATGTACACATTTAGAAAATCTGTCAACCACAGACAGAATGGTGGTGTTACCCCCAGAAGGCGGCAGGCCGGTAACAAAATCCACCGCTATATGGGACCAAGGACGATGAGGAATGGGTAGTGGGCGGAGCAAGCCAGCTGGAGATTTGTGAGACGCCTTGCTGCGGGCACAAACAGAGCAGGCAGAAACATATTCCTTGGTATCAGAGGAAATGGACGGCCACCAGAAGCGCTGACGAATAAGGGCCAGAGTGCGGTGAAATCCAGGGTGGCAGGCCAACCTCGAGTCATGGCCCCACTGAAGCACACTGGACCGAGCGGAGGGGGGAACAAACAGCAGCCCAGGAGGACAAGCCCCAGGCGTGGGATGACCGACCTGGGGCTCCTGAACAACTTTCTCCACCTCCCAACTGGCAGCACCGACCACACAATTTGGTAAGATGGTTTCCTCACCCTTACCCTCAAAAGGAGTGGAAAACCTGCGCGAGAGAACATCAGGCTTAGTGTTCCTGGAACCTGGACGGTAGGTAAGGGTGAAGTTAAACCTTCCCAGAAAAAGCGCCCATCGTGCCTGGCGGGAGTTCAACCTGCGGGCAGAACGAAGGTAGGACAGGTTTTTATGGTCAGTCCATGCAACAAAAGGCTGAGCTGAGCCCTCCAGTCAGTGTCTCCATTCCCTCAGAGCGAGAACCACCGCGAGCAGTTCCCGGTTGCCCACATCATAGTTCCGCAGGGCTAAGCTGACGGGAAAAGAAGGCACAGGGGTGGAGCTTGTGGTCTGAAGTGGAACGCTGGGAGAGAACTGCGCCAACGCCAGAATCAGACGCATCAACCTCAACGATGAACTGAGCTGTGGAATCAGGGTGGGAGAGAACAGGTGCAGAACAAAAAAGACTTTTCAAACGAACAAAAGATGCCTCCGCCTCAGCTGACCAAACAAAGGGGACCTTAGCAGAGGTAAGCCTAGTCAGAGGTGCAGCGACTTTACTATAATCCCGAATAAACCTCCTATAAAAATTAGCGAAACCCAAAAACCTTTGGAGGAGTTTACGGCTAGTAGGAGTGGGCCAGTCAGTTACTGCCTTAACCTTGGCAGGATCAGACCTGATCTGTCCCTTCTCAATAACGAAACCAAGAAAATGAACCGTTTCTGCATGAAAATCGCACTTCTCGGCTTTAACATAAAGTCTGTTTTCGAGAAGATGCTGAAGAACTAGTCTGACATGCTGAACATGTTCCTCTGGAGTGCGGGAAAAAAATCAAAATGTCGTCAATATAAACAAAAACAAATCGGTTTAACATATCTCGTAAAACATCATTAACCAGAGCTTGGAAAACTGCTGGGGCATTTGTTAATCCAAAAGGCATAACTAAATACTCAAAATGTCCCAAGGGGGTATTAAATGCTGTCTTCCATTCAGCACCCTCTTTAATCCTGACTAAATGATATGCATTGCGAAGGTCCAGCTTAGTGAAAATCGAAGCCTCATGCAGGGAGCAAAAGGCTGAGTCCAAGAGTGGGAGAGGGTACTTGTTTTTCACCGTAATGTCATTAAAGCGAATATCCGGAGGATGAAAAGAGGGCGTGAAAATTCAAACCTGAACGGCACTATGCCGCTACCTAGCCCCTCCCTTGCATTTGTCAATCTTCTTGAAGCCACGCCTCTACGGTTGTGCACGCGCTGAGCCGAACATAACAAAGTTGGAAGGTCCGCAAATATTCGTTCTTTTATTTCATTTCGTGGCGATGGACATTTCTGAGGTAAGACAAAGCATGTATTTAAGAATTTTATCCATTTTGTCTAAGAACCGCATAATATTGCCTATATGCAGCAATGCTAACGTTGCTAATTCTGCTAGTTACTATCAATCGTCGCAACTAAATTGCTAATATAGGTTATATAGCTAGAGCTGACCCTTTGCTTTGCATATCACATGTCACATATATATATGTGTTTTGCTGCTTAGAGTTCGCATGCAGCAGAGTCGTCCTCTGACGAGGATTCACCCCCTTTCACCCCGACGAGCAGAGCACCTAAGCGAGCCCGTCCGTCTACGTCCAGGGGCCGTGGACTGGGTCGGGGTCGGCGTGCCCCGAGAGGCCGAAGTGCTGGCAACGTAGGCCTGGAGGATTCTGCACGTGTTCATGAGATTCGAACCCAGCGCATCAACTTTGAACGGGTATTTAGATGTAAATACATTTTGAGAAGTCTTCATTTGGTTGTACGAAACTAGTGTTAGGAGTATATTATAGATAACAATCGTTATATTACTAGTTACTGTAATGGGTAACCATTAGATGCACTGGAATTCCACATGCTGTTCTCGCTGTGGTTAGATATAGAACTTGTGTGACATAAAACAAATTGTACATAGAAACCACTTAAAATTGTATCATCATTACTATACAATTATTAGGGTTAGTGGAATATATTCAAAAGACAACAAATAGAGTGTAATATTGAATGAATGAAGCTTTTATTACGGACTCATGGTCCAACACCATTGTTATGCCTGTATCACAATATAACATTAAAACTAGTAATCTCTTATGTATAACACTGAGTAACTTGGCAAATAAAGGTATTGTTTATGTGCATATAGAACTTGTCTTATTATTGTACAACTATGTGTATATTTCTTAGGAACTCCTTCAAAGCCTAAGCCACCAGGACGCTCTGGAAGTACTGCAGGAAGTGTTGGAGAGGAACCCTGGCGTTCTCCTTGGCATCATGCACCGTTCAGGCCCAGCTGCACGAGACCCGCTTACAGATAATCAGCCTACTTGGTGTGTCTGCAGCCACTGTAAAGACATGCCAACAGACATTGAAAAAAAATGCTGCCAGCAATCCCCTGTCCTGTGCGTTTCTCTTGCTCCGCACATGCAGACTCTGATTCTTGACGGAGGGGTTTTGCGACTGGCGAGGAATCTGTGGAATGACTTACGCGCACTTCATGATGATTCGGAACCAGGGGAGGACAACAGACAATTTCGCCATGCTGCATATAGGCAATACGTTTCATGGCAGTATGGCACACTGGGAGCTCGCAACAGGGTGGTCATTCCAAGTTGTGTGGTATGGAGAATAAGAGAGAAATACCCTGATCCGAATGGGATCTACACCGGCTTCATTCCCAGACGATTATAATTTAATTATATTGTAAAGTGTTGTTGAAAGGATTGTGTGTGTGTGTGTTTTAATAAAGGATCCTAATTGAATCTGATGCCTATGTGCTGTAATTACAACAGGCAAAGCATTTCAGCAAAAGTATATACATTTATTTACAAACTTCAGAATAGAATAAATATTCTATTGTTGCAGGAAAAATTCAAAATCTATTGCCGTTCTTCTTGACCTGCTGAAATTAAACAACTTATCAGAGGGGAAAAAATAAACAACATTGAAATACAACATCTTACCATCTCCACGGCTGACATGTTTGTCCCTCAGTTCTTTTGTTGATGGGCCTGGAACACCACAAACTAACCCCAAATGTCTTGGGTCATTAGATCTGAGTTTGGTGTGTTTTGGGAGTCCTCTGTTGCTGTTTATCCGAGCAGCCACAATCTTGCTTTGAAGTGAGGGAATATAGGCATAGTCCTTCTTTACCTTCAGAGCATAAAAAGCCCAGGATCTTGATTTTTTATTAAACACTCTTCTCCCTCTAAATGTAACAAAATATATATATTTTTAAAACAAAGAAAAAATGATTTGATTATCTTTTGGTATACACTTACTGCAAGGATCCATCAGGATATCTTCTCATAGGCCTGTCAACATGGTGGTTGTAGTCCAAAGCAGCAAGATAAACACGTGCATTGTACACAGGCTGTACAAAGCTAAAACGTTTACTTGCATACATGAGAAGATGATTGTGGAAGGATTCCAAATGTGCTGTGGACCTACAAAAATAAACAAACAAACTCAATTTAATTTTACAATCTATAGAAGAAAAAGATGAATATAGTCACCTGTTTTCCTACCTGAAATTCAAATATTTTGGGACATCCTTGAGCCAGCGTTCTTTCAGAATGATTTCGGAAAGGGCAGAGTGTGCTTTGGATCCTTTCTTTATCCATTCCTTAGTAGGCTCTTCCACCAATGGGTCATGTTGGCATGCATCATAGGGCCATTCATGTTCACCAGTGACGTGGTGCAATAAGCCAATCCACATGGGCTACGAAGTAAAACAATAAAAAGGCCATTAGTAAGAATACAATAAAAAGACAATTATGGCACAATTCAAGTTCCGCACTTGACTCAACAATATTTGGTGTATCTATTCACTTTAAAATGAATATCTTAAGGTTAAGATTTTAAGCTTAAAACTACTTACAAAGAATCTTTCATAATTATCTGCTACTTTGCAGCAAAACCAGAAATGATTGCATATGTCTTTCTTCCACTGCAACAGAATTTTGCAATCCCGCTGTTGGCCAGACTGTAAACAAAGGTCAGCATAAATACAATAAACAAAAATAAAAATAATTTCTACTCACAGCATGTATTCGTTTCCCGAGGTTCTTTGCACCATGCCACATATCGAAGCTATGCTCCACTCCAGAATCTTTATATATTCCAGTTCCTAATTGAAAAAACACATGTGTTATTGTGAAAAAATAACTAGTATTGTTTAGTTTACATTGTAGTGTACTTACTGAAAAGTGCAGAAATCTGGGTATGCGCATCAGTACAAATCTCAGAAATATTGACTTCATTTCTAAGTTTGTCTAAACTATCAATGAATGCCAACTTTTCCATTATGGTGGAATGTCCCTGGGCTTCTCGCTTGTCTTTATTGGCAATATTCATAATCTTTTTACTGCCATTGTCCATCACAGTGTATGTGCAGTATTGGGCCGAAAAACCAGGGCTGTCCATTCTAGCATCTCCTGTGTTTTTAACAGAACAATGTATATGTCAATCATTCCAAATTGTTTAATTCATAAAAATTAATTGAATACATTTGATTATAGCTTTAAAACAAATAACTTACCAAGTGCAACAACTCTTTCATCCTTCAAACTAGAGATTATGGAAGCTCTTTTCTCTTCCCAAAATTCCTCAATGGTTGTCACACAGTATGCATCTTGAATGGCAAAGAAAGATGTCTGAGCTACTATACCCATGTTCATGTACTTGAACAGAAGGGCGACTTTGGAATAGTTATTTCCACTGAGAAGTATGTTTGTGGCGAGCATGAAATCGCCCGTTTGCATATTGAATTTAAATGTGGGCTGTGAATTCCATTGCCATACTGTATGACCATTGAGACACACCTAGAGTATGAAGATGAAAACGTGTGTTAGATATATTGATCCATGCTTATTTTAAAATCCCAATTTGCCCTCATACCCATTTCAGTAGAACAGCGCTTCCTCTTTTAACAAGAAAAACGTCAAATGGTCCAGTGGCTCCACATTCATCTTTTAGAGTTTTTGCTGGACATCTTCTAATTGGCATTTGGAGAAATGTAACAAGCTGCTTTAGGCAGGTGTCATACACAATGGCAGCTTGCTGGCCTACAATGTCCTCTGGGGTTTCAACTCTGATGCTGTTGCATGGTATGGACGGATCATCACAAGGTCGGAGGTGAGGGTCTTGTCCTATGCCATCATACACAATGTCCTCCGCAGTGGCCTCAGGAAGCTCATCAATATTGTAGGCAAGTGAAGCTCCAGGTCTGAGCAGAAATGATACAAATGATATATTTTTTATTTATTTACACAATACATTTCAATATTAGTAATTAAGTAATGTTTATTTATACAGCGCATTTTACAGACCAAGGTCACCCAAAGCGCTTTACAATGTTCAGAGTTCAGATATTTTCTCATCGTTTCATTCATTATACAATGATTGAAATGTTTAAACGCAGCACCTCATACTGTTCTAGCCTCCAAGCATGCGTTTATACTCAAACTGCAGGGCTCCTCTTTACCCCCTTACATAAATAACACTCACCTGATTCGTATTGTTGGTATGTAGTCCGTGTCACTGTCGTCAGACTCACTGTCTTCCTCTCTTGTTTCCTCCTCTGAAGTAGAAACTTCTTCTGTGTCTTTAGATGGGGTCCATGTTTCATCTTCTGTCCAGTCAATGCTGTACACAGAGGGACATCATATTTTTTTGTATTATTATTAACTAAGAAAGGTGTACTGCACTGGATCAGATGTATTGATTACACATGCTCATTGGACTGAAAAACTTGTAACAACTTTTAAAAAGGGCTAGGCAGAATTTGATAGTGGCAAATTTCCCGTGACCACTTGTTGCAAAACATTAGCTCTGTAACATATCTTTTGCAGCAAGTGGTCTTAAATTTCTTGTATACATTTTTATACTCACATTGAATTCTGCAAACTGTTTACATCATTCTCATCCACTTCATCAGCCTGTATCCTGAAAAAAACATTGTTTACACCAAATTTACGAAAAATTAAAATATCGTGAATAACGTACCTTTTTCCATCATCGTCACTGCCAATTGGGAGTACTTCGTAGAAATCCTCCTCTCTAAAAAAAAAAAAAAGTAGAGTGAGTGAGGCAAAAAGAAATAAGGAAAAATGTTGATATAAACTACAGTGTACACACAATATAAATGCTGCTGTGTGGGAACAACTGGATTAGCCTTTATTTTATATTGGGATCATTCAGATGCTAACAGGATAGATCACGTACCTTTCAGACAACGACTCTGCAATACTGGAAAGAGCTGGCATTATTATTATTATTATTAACATTTTTATTAAGAGGAATAACCCCTTGAGATGAAACATCTCGTTTCCGAGGGGGTCCTCAAAAACAGATTCAAAAATAACAGTACAGCAGCAACAGTCAATTATATGCAAAACAAAATTATTACATTAAACAAACAAAAAAAAAAAAAAAAAAAAAAAAACAGGACAAAAGCTCAGCACATTCACTCACACACACACACACACTCAGCTCTCAGAGGTTACCCACTCCCCCTATAACTACAGTAAAGTACAGCACAAAATAAATACATTATAATACTAATGGAAACACAATACAATAGAAGACACATCAGAAGCAATTACAGACAGTTTTAAAATGCTGTAACACAGCGTTCTTAAACAAAGGAAAGGAGGTCAGGGAGCGAATGGTAGGTGGAAGAAGGTTCCAGTCCTTTGGGGCTTTGTAATGAAAAGCATGTTTTCCTATTTCTTTTTTAACACGGGGGGTGTGGAAGAAAAGAATTTCAGTGTTAGTGTGACGAAGACTGTAAGTGGAACTAAAAGGTGTAAGATATTGTTTTAGGTATGTGGGATAATTAAAATAATTACATTTGAAAATGAAAAACAACCAGTGAGAGTGTCGACGTGCAGGCAGTGAGGACCAGGACAGTTGGAGAAACATGTCACAGTGGTGTGTCCTGTAGGGGCAGCGCAGAGCGAACCTACACAGGCTGTTGTAGACAGTATTGAGGGGATAGAGACATGTGGCGGTTGTATTTTGATAAACAATATCGGCATAATCAAGGATGGGAAGTAATAACTGAGAAACAAGTCTTTTCCTGACAGAAACATTAAAGCAGTTGATTGAACAATATAAAGTTTTTAAAGAATAGTTTAATTTATTGACTGTCTTATGAATATGAGTTTTAAAAGAAAGGGTGGAATCCAGCCAAAGGCCGAGGTATTTGAACTCATCCACACATTTCACAGGAGACAAATCTAAAAAGTGAAGGTTGAGCTCAGGTAAGTGTTTGTTTGTCTTCTGAAAAAGCATGGCATATGATTTGGTTGTATTTAAAATGAGTTTATTGGACAAGAGCCAGTGTTGAACTAAATCAAAATCATTTTGCAGGGAGTTGCTGATGTCAGAGACGTTAGGTTTTGAACAGTAAATAACAGTGTCATCTGCATATAACTGGATGTCACAGTTAGAACAGATGCTCGGGAGGTCGTTAATGAAAATAGAAAAAAGTAAAGGGCCCAAAGAGGAACCTTGTGGAACACCTTTGTCTATGCCTGCGAGATTTGATTGGCTACCCCCAAAGGACACACACTGTTGTCGAGAGTGAAGGTAGGAATTGAACCAAAGTAAAGCAGATCTAGATAGACCCAGATTGTGAAGTTTATCCAAAAGCAAGTAGTGATCAACCAAATCAAAAGCTTTGGTCAAATCAAGAAATAATGCGCCTGTATAAAAACTTTTGTCAAAACTTGAAAATATATCATTTGTTAATTTTAGAAGGGCAGTGGTTGTGGAGAAGTGTTTTCTGAAGCCAGATTGATTTTGGGATAAAAGTTCATTGTCAGTTAGATAGTTAGAGAGCTGGTTAAAAATATTTTTTTCAAAGACTTTGACGATACTATTGATTATTGAAATGGGTCGGTAGTTGTTGATATTCTCGGGGTCACCAGATTTATATAGTGGAATTACTTTGGCACATTTCCAGGAGAGAGGGACAGTGTTTGTAGAAAGAGAAAGGTTAAAGAGTGCAGCCAAGGGAGCTGATAAGACAGAAGAGCCTATTTTAATAAATTTACTTTCAATGCCATCTCAACTGCTGTTGAAAGACAGTTCTCCTAGAACACGGTGGCTGAGTGGATAGCACTCTCGCCTCTCAGCACTGGTTCGAATCCCGGTCGGACCAGGGCCTTTCTGAGTGGAGTTTGCATGTTCCCGTGACAGTTTTCCGGTACTCCGTTTCCCCTACCACTATAGTTCTGGCATGCCTTTGGCGACCCCGCTCCCATCTCTGTGTGGAGAGATACAAATGATTAATCAATTTAATTGTAAACCGCTTTGAGACTCAGATCTGCATGAAAAGGCGGTATATAAATAAAAACTTACTTACTACTTACTATAGCCCTTTCGACATCAGAGGGACTAATTTCTGCAAATGAAAAGGCTGCATGGTTGGTGTAGTGGTCAGAAGCAGCTGAATGGAAAGGAGGATGAACGTGAGGAGATTGGGAGAAGTGCAGACTGAAAGCATTGGCAATAGCAGTGGGATCATTTGTAATTTCATTGTTAATAGTCATATTAATAGTGTTTTTATTAGATTTACCAAGTAGATTGTTCATCTTTTTCCAGAATTGACTTGGATTCCTGAAGTTGTTTGACAGGCTGTTTGAGTAATAATCTGATTTGGAGTTTCTGGTTTGAGTTGTGCATACATTTCTTAACTGCCTGTACTTCTCCCAATCCGACGCAAGCTTGGTATGGTGATAAACTCTCCATGCCCTGTCTCTCTGCTTATATAAATGAATAAGGTCACCACTGATCCATGGTAAGTGAGTGCCTTTTACTTTTATTGTGATCCAGGGAGCATGTTTATCAATGATACGCTTAAGTTCAGAGTAAAGAAAATTCCAGGCATCTTCTGCATAAGGGATTAAGTAAAATCTGTTCCAGTTTATCTGCTGTAAATCATTGATAAAAAAGTCACTATTGAAGGTTCTTGTTTGACGGATTTTAATGATTTTAGGTGGAAGACGAGGTTTTGAAATTTTCCAAATACAGTATATCATGGAGTGGTCACAAAGCTGTCTGGGAGAATTCCAGACTGGCTGAACCTGTTGGGATGAGAGACGAGAGCCCAATCCAAGAGGGATTTTGATTTAGGAGTCACTCTTGTAGGTTCTGTAATAAGTTGGGTGAGATTTACAGAGTCAAACATATTCCTTTCAGTAAATGTGGATGAGTCAAGCCAGTTGATATTGAAGTCACCCATTAATATTAGCTCATTATTATTATTACTATTTAAAGAGGAAAGAGTGGAGAGTATATTTTTAAGTGATTCCGATTTTGGGGAATTTGGGGGTCTATAAATAGTTCCAACAGTTAATTGTTTGTGTTCATGTAGAGTAACAGTTATAAATAGACCTTCATAAAGTGTTGGTGGATCAGATGGGACAGTGAGTTGAGATTTAAGGTGAGAAGAAACATAAGTTGCAACTCCACCTCCTCTTGAACGCCTATCGGCTCTATACAGTGTGTAATTGTCAAGCCTAATATCATTATCAGTAACACTTTTGGAGAGCCACGTTTCAGATAAAGTAATAATAGATGGATGATTGTAAGCAATCCAAGCTCTTAAATGATCAATTTTAGGAAGAAGGCTTCGGATGTTCAGGTGAACAATCTGGAGACCTTTACCCATACTGGTTTAAAGTAGGAGTAATAATAACATCAATGCCGAACAAGAGGAGGAGAGAGCGAAAAGGTGGGGCGGAGGAGAGATAACATGAGAGTCCACACACACAAACATAAACGGTCTCACTCACACACAAGCAAAGGTAATACAAAAACATTTAGAAAAATAAAACGAAGTTACGATCTCAGTCTGCAGTTTAAGTTAAAGAAAGGATTTACTAATAATTACTTTGCAAAATTTAATTATGTACAATTGCATTAATGAAACAATGGCCATGAGCAAAGAGTAACATACTATATGTCCTTTCTAAAAAAGTAAAGATTCAAAGCGTTCCAGAAAAGAAAATAGTATTACGCATCTCATTTTGCGACTCTCACCGTACGTTTATGACGTAAATAAACGGTTTACGGCAAATAATACAGTCGCGTACCCTCGGGTGCAGCATGGAAGAAAACAAAGTTATAACATCTGCCACATGGGACAATTACTTAAAGACACCGAGGGCTTCAACTTCTTCAGGGGACTTGCAAAGTACATCCTTACCGCGAATGTTGACCCGAAGAACGGCTGGATACAGCATGGCATAGCGGATGCTCAAGTCACTGAGCTTTTTCTTCACCGAGTCAAACATGCGGCGTTTATGCAACAAACCAGCACTAAAGTCCGGATAAATGTGGATTCTAGATCCCTTGAGGACAAGCTCCTTTTTCTCACGGGATAATCGAAGGATCTTGACTTTATCCTGGAAACGTAGAAACTTCACCAGTATGGGTCTCGGGACCGTCTTTGGACCTTGCCTGGGGGCTCCCCCTGGGGTGCGGTGAGCCCGTTCCATGGGTGGAGGAGTCGGGAAGTTATCAGCACCAAAAAGTTTTATGATCAGACGTTCAATAAAGCCAAGAGTGTCTTGGCCTTCGGATCCCTCTGGAACGTGAAGGAAACGGAGATTTGATGAACGGCTCCGATTTTCTAAGTCCTCAGTCTTGTCCAGCAAGTACGTGTTTTGCTTCTCCAAGGTTAGTACACGCCTCTCCAGATCAGATATATGATCATGATTTGAGCCGACTCTACAGTCCAGCTCAGCCACCTGTTTCCCAAGAAACTTGATTGAAGATTGCATATCGTCAATAGATGCTTGTAGATTTTCAAGTTTAGGGTCGATATGGGCCGTGATTTCATTCTTAAGCTGTTGCAAAGCGTTCAAAATGAAGGTGTTTGAAGCTGCAGCTTGATTCATGGTGGTGGAAATATACCTGCGGTTGAGGTAGGCCCTGATGAATCAGACAGGTTTTGACTCTGAGAACTCAATAGGCGAACCAAAAAGTCCTCGTCAAAAAGTTTAAATACACAGTCAAACAGGTAATCAGAGATGTGTATAAAAAGAGATAATGAAGGCTTAAGTAAATTTTAAGCAGACTGAGATTTAGGGAGCTCACTCAGACAGTGCTGCTGCGTCAGCCATCTTGGGTTCTGTCAGACTCACAGAATCAAGGCATCACAAGTCGTTTTCTATTAATATTTCTTCTTGGTGTCGACGTTGAAGAATCTGATCGTTTCTGATAGCTACAAATTAAACATAGAAGATACGTTATAATCATTAGAATGGCGTTTAACTACACAACGTTGCACTGACTTGCAGGAGTTTGCAGCCAAAAAGCTAGTACAAGTAACATGTCAGAAAAAGTAGCGCTAGTAATAACGTGTTTTGGGGTACCGTGATTGTTAGCTGCTACGTGAAAACCAATAAATCCATGTAGTGACAATTGAAGACCGAACAATAAGTTTCATTTGACTTGAAATGAAACATGGACTCGGTCCACAGTAGAAGTGTGCCAGCTAGCTGAGCCGACATATTTCTAGCGAATGGTACGCTAACGTTAGCTTTGATGCATGCTAATTGACACTATGCACATTCTACTGTTGCAGAAAGACAGTGGTATTGTTTTTCACTAGCGACACGTTTAAAAGTGGCATTAAAAAGTTTTCATTACCTGTCCAAGAGATACATCGCCAACTCAGGGTCAGTTTTAAATCCCTTCAAAAGCCGCAGGTCCCTCCACCTTTGAAACGCCGCTCCAAGATATATTCTCCGGTGGTCACGAAGGCGTCTATCTGCCAACTTTGTCCCCGGACTTTTCTTTTGTTTTGATGTAGGAGCAGCTTTAGATGGCAATCGTGGTATTGGCAATTTCGGGTTTACGGAGCTTTCCGCCATGATGTTGTGTTCGCTGGCCGAAGATGCGCGTCCTTGTGGCCATGCACGGTTTTGTGCATGCGCATGGACCTTGACTGACAGTCGCCGCTGCAGGAAGTAAAAGCCTATTGGCTAGCTGATCGAGCCTCGATTTTCAGTTTGTATAGGGGTCTATAGGCCGAGGGCGGGACTTACATACATCGATGTATACAAATTACCAATGGCACTCGACCATAGTAAAAGACAGCGCAATCCCTTTTTCACAATTCAAAAGAATAATACATAAACCAAGACTTTCCAGAAACTCCGGATATTCGCTTTAAGACCCCTAAAGTCAATACACGGGCGGAGTGACTTGTCCTTCTTGTCTACAAAAAAGAAACCCGCCCCAACAGGTGAGGAAGAGGGTCGAATCAGTCCTGCCGCTAACGATTCAGTAATGTATGTCTCCATGGCCTCTCTCTCAGGCTTAGACAGGTTATACAGCTTCCTGGTGGGTAAAGGGGCACCTGGAACAAGGTCTATGCTGCAGTCATAGGGCCTGTGTGGCGGCAAGGACGAAGCCCTGTCCTTGGAAAAAAAACCTCCTGGAGGTCATGGTATTCACTGGGAACAGACGAAAGGTCAACGGGCCTGGGACCTTCAGTGCACGTCTTGATGGAGGGGATGGATGAATGGAGACAGTGCGTGTGGCAAAATAAACTCCAATTTACAATAGAAAATTTAGACCAATCTATATGTGGGTTATGTAGCTTTAACCATGGGAGGCCTAAAACTACAGGAGTAGGAGGAGAGTTAACCCTTAAAAGACGATGCCATCGCTGACGATGGTGGCGCACATGTTTTACAAATGATCAATTTACTCGCGAACGGTGAACGCTAGCAACTTACTTTTTTTTATCTCCGTGAAGTACACATTCCAGCCTTTCCGAAACCGCCTTTGGTTTGTCTCTGCTACATACGGGGGATAAACTACGTGTGTATGAAAGTCAGTCCCCCAAACGGATCTTCAAGCGGTGCCCCGTGAGCCAGGCACAGCCGCATGTAAAGTTGTTTACACACACGGGGACTCAGACAAAGATTGTCAGAGATCTCTCACTCCTCTGTGTTTACTGCAGCATAGGCAGCAGCGCTCAGAGGAACCAGAGGAGTTCGCATTATTGAGAATAGACAATAATAAATACAGTAAAATTATATTATGTGTATATAATGTATTTATATATATAAATTAGATGTTTTTGGCTTTTATAGAGGAATTTTGTAAAAAGTATAATAGTTACGGATTCAAATTTTTTCCCCATTATCCCCACGACCATAAATAACATTTCTATGCAGTGTAAACAGTTGTTTATAGCATTTCATTGTGTTTTTTCAATACATTTTTGTGAAATTGATTTTCCGTTTCGATTTTCTCTTTGTCTTCATGACTCCAAATTTTTTATATAATTGATATGACAGCTCTAAAATATAGATATTCTAAAACCCCAGGTTGTACTGAAAAAAACAAAGTATACTGCTTGACTCTGCATCAAAAAATGACTCTTTTATGAGCAATTATACACAAAGAAAACCAGGCGAGGAAGGTTCCCCAAAATGACCCTAGACCTTGGAGGGTTGTTCAGAGTAATAGTCTCATGATGGTTTCCAGACAGGAGGAGGGACACTGGAACAGTGCGATCAGTCACAGTGGCAAGAGGCCTACCATCTAGCGCAAAAACAGTCTTGGGGCTGGGAAGAGGCTCGGTTGGTATCTTACACTGGGAAACAAATCCATAGTCGATGAAATTGTCATCAGCCCCCGAATCGACTAAGGCCAGGAGTGCAAAGGAATCCCTGTTAAGCGTGACAGTACCTCGTAGCTGAATACGCTTGGTGCAAGGATCAGCAGGGGTGTGGCTCACCAGGACCCCCTCCTGTGGCAGGGCTGGACATCTAACCCGAACGTGTCCTGTTTGGGCGCAATACGTGCAGCGTTGATTAAAGCAACGCCTCTTCTCTGGAGTAGATCTCTTCCTGCTCAGTGGCTTGGGCACCTCCGTGATGACTGGAACAGAACTGGAAACAAGACCAGCAGAGAACGACTCCGTAGGATGAGGAGCAGCTGGACCAGCCTGTAGAGCGGACCCTGTGTTGGGGAATGGAGCACTCAATCTGCCTGCTCTCTCCCTACGACTCTCTCGCAGTCTGTCATCCAATATGATGGCTAATGTAATTAAATCCTCTAAAGAGTTAGTTTCATCACGGGCTGCCAGTTCATCCTTAACTTCCTCACTTAAACCCCTAAGAAAGACCCCATGAAGGGCCCTCTGATCCCAACCACATTGTGCTGCTAATATGCGAAAATCTATAGAGAACGTAGACACAGAACCTGAACCCTGGCGCAGAGAAAGGAGACGGCTACTCGCCTCTTTACCCTCTAGTGGGTGTTCAAAAACTCTGCGCATCTCACTGGTAAAGGAGCGAAGGGACTGACAAGACACAGAGTCACTGTTAACTAAAGCCATAGCCCAGGCAGAAGCCTTACCAGTTAGCAGGCTCATTATAAAAGCTACTCTAGCTCTGTCAGTAGCGTAATAGTAAGTAATACGTATTCATCAAAAACAAGGCAGAGGCTTTTGTATATGCTGCTCCTTCTACGTGGTACATGTTGCAAAAAGACTGGAAATGATCTGATCTGACAGGCTTTCAGATCCAGATTGAGAGCACTTGAGACATCTTCAGTGAAATGTAACTCTTTTTATAATCTGTAATTTTATGAAATTGTATGTGAGCCCATGATCCCAGAAAGAATGGCTAGTATTCATCCATTAGGTGGTGCTATATTTATATCAATAACAGTAAATCAAAGATAAGCAAAATTGCAATGATAAACACTATAAATGAAAATAAATCAAAGTGAACAGACAATATACTTATACTATAAGTGCAATAGAATACTGTTGTGTGTTTGGGCGCGTATGTATATGCGTTCCACATGGTCTGTGTCAGCTCTGGAGACACATTTACTGCTCAAACTGCCTCCAAATGTAGCCTGACCCTGACTATATTACTCCATGCCTGCTTCACCTCTATCTCTCCTGCTCAGAGTGCTCAGGCAGTGATCTTTGGCCAAGACACCCACAGAGCTCTGCTGCCTCCTGCTGGCTTAATAAAATACTGTCTACAGCCAAACCCCAGACATATATGATACACAGACACAGACAGACAGGAAAAGATTGAAAGTCAATTGATGTCAATGACAATGAGTTAATCTAAATGGTACTTTTCTGGTTAAATTTGAAAAAAAAAAAAAAAAAAAAAAAAAAATTATTTTCAGTGATTCTTTGGCGTACCCCTAGAGGGAGCCCCACGTACGCTCCCTCTAGGGGTACCCAAGCCCCGGCGATCCAAGATGGCGCCCTATTCAAATGAATGGTTGTGCTCAGTGGCGCTTTGTG